TTAATATAGATGAGTTAAAGGATGAAACTCCTGCTAATATAATAGTAAATAAATTTGAAAAGAACAATTCACAAAATTTAATAAAGGAAAAACCAGTAAATTATCTAAATTATGCATATAATATTGTAAATAATTGCCAAAATTTGCCAAGATTATATATACCAATAGGATCGAAGTTTTATCCAGCTATAATAGATACAGGAGCAAATATATCATTCGGACCTGTTCATATATTTAACGAAGCCATGTTCGAAATAGAGGAAATTGACCCTATAAATATATTTTTCCTCGGAGGCTCGAATATTAAATTTACAAAGAAAACTAAATTAACTTTAATACCAAAAGGCTTTGAAATAATAGAATTAAACTTTTTCTTGTATGAGAATATAAATATACCATTAATAATAGGTATTGACCATTTGCAAACATTTGAAAGATACGGAATAAAAACATATTTTAATAGCAATGGTATGATTGAATTTGACTATACGGAATATGATATTAAACATAAAATTGTTGTTTTAACCAAAATATATCAAAATAATGCCCAAATTTTAACAAATGAATACAGAGAACAATTTAAAAATTGGATAGAAATAAATTCTCCAAAATTTGAAAATATGCTTCCGGAACTAAATATAACAAATAATTCTCATTTACCTTTAATTAATATAATTACTAATGGAGTTAGCACTGAGGCTTTATTTGACTCAGGCTCAGAATTTTCATTATGTCCATTATCATTTTCTAATAAAATTAATGCAAAGAAAGTTTATTATAAATATATTCCAAAACTCTACACACCAATTGGAAAAGGAAATCAAGTAAAAATAATTGGTTGTTGTATAATAACATTAGAAGTTGGTGTATTTCTTAGCGAAATATTTGTTTGGCTGACAGATGAAAATCAAATTCCATTTAATTTTATCTTAGGATATGACACTATCAAATTAATATGTAACCAAATTGGAAGTATTCCACTTAAAACAGGCGAAATATTTATAAATGATAATAATAAAACTTATATACAAAGCCCAGGGTGGAATATAAATAATAATTATGCTTTTATGTATTCATCAGAAAATTATATTAACCAAAATAATAATATGTTACCAGTGATATCAATGAAAATTAACGGGAGAAATATAAAAGCTTTATTTGATTCGGGAGCATCAATATCTTATTTGAGAGAAAGTATTATGAATAATTTTAATCTATTGCCAATATTAAATTCAATACTCCCAAAAGCTAGAACGGCAAATCAATCAATATTTAAATTTATAACAAAATGCCAAGCTAATATACAAATTGGAAATATATTTTTTAAATATTATTTTTATGTAACAGAGGATAATAACTGTCCTTATCCATGCTTAATCGGCGCTGATTTTATAAAAAGATTAAATGAACTTGGAAATAATGTTAGTTTAGAATTTCATAGAAATAAAATAAGAATTGGTGAATCAGAAATTCCACTTATAGCATTTATATCAGCAGGATTAAATAAAAATAACCAAAATAATAATTGTGATTATATAACAGTAATTGCACCAAATTTAATAATATTAGAACCAAGGACCGATAATCTCGTTACTGGAATAACGGAATATGACTGCTCAGGAAATTTATATATAACTAATACGTCTGAACATTTAGATTCTGAATTTTTTCTAGTTGGACGAACTATTGTTAAGCCTGGACCGTTAAAATTTGTTACTCTAAGATTATGAATCCAACACAGCAAGAAATAAAAATTAAACCAGGAGAAGTTATAGCACTACTCGAAACAATAAATAACGAAACTGAACTAATTAATATAAAATTTAATAACGAAATTGAAAATAATAATCATAAAATATATTCAAAATACGAACATATTAATTCTTGTCAAATAGAAAAGGATTATGAATTTTTAAAAGGAGTTAATCTAGAAAAATCAATATTAAGTAAACAAAGCCAAGAAAAATTAAAAGAAATAATTTGCAAATATAAACACGTATTTACAGAAAAAAGTAATTATAAAGGTTCAATCCAACATAATATAGATATCGAGCCAGGAAAAGGGCCAATTTCGTCAAGACAATATCGAGTACCAATGACAATGAAAGATGAAATTAAAAGACAAGTAGAACAAATGCTAAAAGATAATATAATAGAACATTCTAATTCACAATTTGCTTCGCCCGTAGTATTAGTAAAGAAAAAAGATGGAACTATGAGATTTGCCATCGATTATAGAAAATTAAATGCAATAACTATTAAACAAGTATATCATTTACCAATAATAAATGAAATTAGAGAAGAAGTAGCGGGAAAGAAAATATTTACAAGTTTTGATTTTAAATCCGGATTTCATCAATTACCTATGAATCCAGAACATAAAGAAAGAACCGCATTTTCTTGTTGGATGGGATTATTTCAATTTATTAAAGTACCCTTCGGACTTTGTGGTGCCCCCACAACTTTTATGAGAGCAATGAACGAATTAAAAAAATATATTTCTGCCTCTTTCCTTATATATATCGACGATGTAATATTATCATCAGAAAACGAAATAGAACATTTAAATGATATAGAACAATTTCTTAACGTAATATCTAATTTTGGAATGAGATTAAAACTTGAAAAATGTGAATTTGGATTAGCAGAAATTAAATATTTGGGATTTTTTATATCAGAAAATGGAATCAGACCAGACCCAAAAGACTTAGAATGTATAAATAAAATAAAACCTCCAAATAATTTACACGAATTAAGAGCATTTTTGGGAGCAGTTAATTATTTTAGAAAATTTATACCATCTTGTGCTAAAATTCTCGGCCCATTATATGAATTAACTAAAGATAATAAATTTAAAACTTCTAAAGAATGGAATGAAGAAGAATGGAATTCATTTAACGAAATAAAAGAAAAATTAAAAAGTCCGCCAGTATTGGCGCCACCTAATCCTAAAGAAAGTTATATAATAGAAACCGATGCATCATTAAAAGGCATAGGTGCCGTATTAATTCAAAATAAACATCCCGTAGCATATTATTCAAGAACATTAAAAGACACAGAAAAACGTTATCATATTAATGAATTAGAAGCATTAGCTATTAATCAAGCTTTAAAAGAATTTTCAATTTATATAATCGGTACAGGCACAACAATAATTAAAACAGATAACAGTCCAATATGTTCCATTTTAACAAGAAAAGACTTAACTGGTAGATTAGCTAAATTTCAGTTATCTATACAAGCGTACGATGTAAAAATAATACACAGATCTGGAAAAACTAATAAATTCGCTGATTATTTAAGTCGAAATATTAACGTAGTAACAAGATCACAAGCAAAAGCAAATTATTTATCTAGCTCGGAAAGTGACGAAGAACAATCTAATAATAACTTAAATACTAATATTAATAAACAAATTTCAATATCTAAAACAATTAAACTACAAAAAATGTGCCCAGAATTAAGAAAAATTATAAACGCCTTAAATGGATATTTTCCACAAAATAAATCAGAAAAAGAGCTATTACAAGAATTAATTAAAAGTTATTCAATAATAAACGGAGCTTTACATTTTATTGACTTAAAAGGAGTCGCAAGACTTGTAATACCATATATTATGAGAGAAAATATACTTAAAATTATACATGATAATCCAGGAGAAGGCGGCCATTTAGGAATTAATAAAACATTACAAAAAATGAAATTAAGATTTTATTGGCCAAATATGAATGACGATGTTAAAAATTATATAATATCCTGTGAATCATGTCAGAAAGTAAAAGACGCTTTTCACCCAAACCATGAAGAATTATATCCAATTAAAAAACCTAGTATTCCGTTTGAACACTTACATATGGACGTTATAGGTCCATTAATAACTAGCACTAAAGGTTCTAAATATATACTATCAATTATCGACAGCTTTTCTAAATATTTAATATGTTGCCCGTTAAAAGATCAAACGGCTCCATCAATTATGAGAATAATAATAGATCAAATAATAACTAAATATGGCGTACCTAAATATATTACTAGTGATCAAGGACGAAATTTTACCTCCCAAATTATGAAAGATATATCTAAAATATTCGGATTTGAACAAATATTTACAGTAAGTTATCATCAAAGTGCTAACGGGCAAGTAGAAAGATCTAATAGAATTATAAAATCCATTTTATCCCATTATGTTGATAAAGAAGGTAGAAATTGGCAAGAATATTTACAATTAGCCACTATGGCATATAATTCATCAAAACAGGAAAGTACACAATATAGCCCTTTTTATATTTTATATGGAAGAGAAATGAAATTACCAATAGATAGATTATTAGAGATCGGAGAAAACGATAATAATAATAATGATATTACACTTTTTCAAGAAAATTTAACAAATAAATTAAATATTATATGGAAACAAACAAAAATAAATATCGAAAAAGCACAAGAAAAACAAAAAGATAATTTTGATTTAAAAGCAAATCCCTCAAATTTCAAAATAGGAGATTATGTAATGAAAAAAGTTGAAGTTCAAACTCATAAATTTTCAAAAAAATATGACGGTCCCTTCCAAATAATATCAATAAATAAACCAAATGTGACATTGAAAGAAAGTGAATCAAAGTTAATTGAAACACATTTAGATAAAGTTAAACACTATAATAATAAATTGCCACTTGAATTAAGAATAATAAATGAAAGGCCAAATGAAAAGATTAAATATAAAGATAAAAATATTGAAAAAGAGGAGTCAGAAACAGATATATAACATTTCTTCGTATTTACAAAATAAATTAATATTCATATAATAAATAAAAATTTTCTTTTAATATTTCATTTCGTTTACATTTTTTACCATTTTTTAACATTTAATAACGTTTTAATAACATTTAAATTTATTTTAAATTTATAATATTTTTATAATAAGTATTATATTTTTAACCATTATAATAATTTATAACTATTTTATAATTTAGAATTTCATAAAGCCTTCAATTTATTAAAATTATTTAAAAATGTCTGAAAATAACAAAAATAATGAAGTATTTGAAAAACAAAATGAAGAAAAACAACCAATAACAAAGAAGAAGGAAGAGAGAAAGTGCAAGGGAAATTGTGTTCTTGAATTGAAGGAAAGTTTGGAAGGCATAAAAGAGGCTATTTTATTAATTGCGGAGAAGAAAGAAGAAGACACTACTTCGGAAGAGGCGTCATCATCAGCAGCAGAAGTGCCCATACAACAACAAAATTATCATCGTGGAAACTATCAACACTATCGAGGTGGTGGAGGAAGAGGAAATTATCGTGGACGACGTGGAGTACGCTTCTATGAACCATATTTTAAACAACAGGACCGTTATCGACGTGCTGGATCCCATTATTGATAGAAAAAAGAAGGATATGATGAAGAAGAAAACAAGTTAAAATTAAAATAAAAAGAAATTTTTTTGTTAGGATTAAAAACAATAAATAAGATTTGCTTAAATTAAGTAAGCTTTAATTATTTAAAATAAAAATATTTTACCACATTTAATTTAAATAACCACATTTTTTAAATTTTTTTTTAAAAAAACAATTTTTACCACAATTTTTACCAATTGTTACCATATACTGTAGTCATTCTTTTTTTTGCCGGCCGCATTAAAAAAAATATAATTTTTAAACATATAAATCCCCCCTTAAAAAAATATTTTTTATTACTCCTTCCACCCCCTTCCCCCTTAAAAACTCCTTAAAAAAATATTTTCATATCCTCTTTTTAAAAAAAAATAATAATAAATATCACATTTTCCAAACTCTTCAAAAACTAAATTTTCAAAAAAAAATTTTTTTTTAATACCCCTTTCAAAATTAAAAATTTAATGCCGAGGTCGGCATTTAAAAAAAGAATGAGGCATGTAACGGTATAAGGCGTGGCCTTTATTGCCAGCCGAACATTTTATTTCCACACCCTCTCCCAATTCAATTCACTTTTAATTTCCAATCACTTAATTCCCTTCTCCCCCATTCCACACACATATTTGTCTTTTTTATATTTTTAATTAAATAAATTTTATTTTAAAGTTTACTTTTAATTTTATTAATTTAACTTAGGGGTAAACCATCCGGGGCTCCGGCCCTAGTTCTTCCGTGGACTAGGATAACCGGAGCTGCCGTCGAACCACTCTCCCTTCCCTTCCCAACAACCCCCACCCCCAGCAACATTACATTATTTTATTAATTCGGGTAGATTTTCTTCGAAATTATCCAAAAATACTTAGTTTATGAGCTATGGGAAGCTATTTAGGGTTATTTAGAGGGGTAGAAATCTATTATTTTATTAATTCGAGTAGATTTTCTTCGAAATTATCCAAAAATACTTAGTTTATGAGATATGGGAAGCTATTTAGGATTATTTAGAGGGGTAGGAATCTATTATTTTATTAATTCGGGTAGATTTTCTTCGAAATTATCCAAAAATACTTAGTTTATGAGCTATGGGAAGCTATTTAGGGTTATTTAGAGGGGTAGAAATCTATTATTTTATTAATTCGAGTGGATTCTATTCGAAATTATCCAAAAATACTTAGTTTATGAGCTATGGGAAGCTAATTAGGGTTATTTAGAGGGGTAGGAATCTATTATTTTTATTAATTCGAGTGGATTCTATTCGAAATTATCCAAAAATACTTAGTTTATGAGCTATGGGAAGCTAATTAGGGTTATTTAGAGGGGTAGAAATCTATTATTTTATTAATTCGGGTAGATTTTCTTCGAAATTATCCAAAAATACTTAGTTTATGAGCTATGGGAAGCTATTTAGGGTTATTTAGAGGGGTAGAAATCTATTATTTTATTAAATCGGGTAGATTTTCTTCGAAATTATCCAAAAATACTTAGTTTATGAGCTATGGGAAGCTATTTAGGGTTATTTAGAGGGGTAGAAATCTATTATTTTATTAATTCGAGTGGATTCTATTCGAAATTATCCAAAAATACTTAGTTTATGAGCTATGGGAAGCTAATTAGGGTTATTTAGAGGGGTAGAAATCTATTATTTTATTAATTCGGGTAGATTTTCTTCGAAATTATCCAAAAATACTTAGTTTATGAGCTATGGGAAGCTATTTAGGGTTATTTAGAGGGGTAGGAATCTATTATTTTTATTAATTCGAGTGGATTCTATTCGAAATTATCCAAAAATACTTAGTTTATGAGCTATGGGAAGCTAATTAGGGTTATTTAGAGGGGTAGAAATCTATTATTTTATTAATTCGGGTAGATTTTCTTCGAAATTATCCAAAAATACTTAGTTTATGAGCTATGGGAAGCTATTTAGGGTTATTTAGAGGGGTAGGAATCTATTATTTTTATTAATTCGAGTGGATTCTATTCGAAATTATCCAAAAATACTTAGTTTATGAGCTATGGGAAGCTAATTAGGGTTATTTAGAGGGGTAGAAATCTATTATTTTATTAATTCGGGTAGATTTTCTTCGAAATTATCCAAAAATACTTAGTTTATGAGCTATGGGAAGCTATTTAGGGTTATTTAGAGGGGTAGGAATCTATTATTATTATTAATTCGAGTGGATTCTATTCGAAATTATCCAAAAATACTTAGTTTATGAGCTATGGGAAGCTAATTAGGGTTATTTAGAGGGGTAGAAATCTATTATTTTATTAATTCGGGTAGATTTTCTTCGAAATTATCCAAAAATACTTAGTTTATGAGCTATGGGAAGCTATTTAGGGTTATTTAGAGGGGTAGGAATCTATTATTTTTATTAATTCGAGTGGATTCTATTCGAAATTATCCAAAAATACTTAGTTTATGAGCTATGGGAAGCTATTTAGGGTTATTTAGAGGGGTAGAAATCTATTATTTTATTAATTCGGGTAGATTTTCTTCGAAATTATCCAAAAATACTTAGTTTATGAGCTATGGGAAGCTATTTAGGGTTATTTAGAGGGGTAGGAATCTATTATTTTTATTAATTCGAGTGGATTCTATTCGAAATTATCCAAAAATACTTAGTTTATGAGCTATGGGAAGCTATTTAGGGTTATTTAGAGGGGTAGGAATCTATTATTTTTATTAATTCGAGTGGATTCTATTCGAAATTATCCAAAAATACTTAGTTTATGAGCTATGGGAAGCTAATTAGGGTTATTTAGAGGGGTAGAAATCTATTATTTTATTAATTCGGGTAGATTTTCTTCGAAATTATCCAAAAATACTTAGTTTATGAGCTATGGGAAGCTATTTAGGGTTATTTAGAGGGGTAGGAATCTATTATTTTTATTAATTCGAGTGGATTCTATTCGAAATTATCCAAAAATACTTAGTTTATGAGCTATGGGAAGCTAATTAGGGTTATTTAGAGGGGTATAAATCTATTATTTTATTAATTCGGGTAGATTTTCTTCGAAATTATCCAAAAATACTTAGTTTATGAGTAGTTAGTCCGGCGTATATGTCGTTGGGGGCAGAGGGGTCCAACCATTTAGCCCCTCCCACATTTTTAAACGACCATTCAACCATTCCGTCGTCAGAGTCCAAAGGTTTAAGGATTTCCCTTTAAGGGATAATTTGATCAAACCGGTTTGGTGCGAACTTTAAAAAAAACACCTTACCATACCATTCCCCACATTTTTCACTAAATTTTATTCTAAAAATTTTCCCAAAGTTTCTAGGGTTCAATAAGTAGTTTTCAAACGATTCAATCAAGATTTCCCATATTTTTTCTTTTTAAAACTGTTTCTTAAACTTTTTTTTTAAGTTTCTTTTCTTACAATCTTATTTTATTATTTTTACCCTTTATACTTAAAAAAATACAATAATTATTAAAAAGTAGGCGGTTGAAATAGAAATAGTAAAAATCAGTCATGCAATAATTATGTTGCAAAATTATTGTTGAAAAGTGAAAATTGGTTAGAAATAGGTCATGCAAGAGAAAAAACTGTAAAAATTTGTAAATTATTGTTGAAAAGTTAAAAATGGGTAAATTTTTAAAAAGTAGACGTTGGAGATAGAAATAACTTTAAAAAGTATAATTAGGTAAAAAATAGCTCATGCAAAAATTGATCAAAAAAATTATTAAAAAGTAGGCGTAGAAAAGTGAAAATAGACTATAATTATAAAAACAAAATATTTCTGTAATAGGAAAAATAAATGAAAATAAATAAAGTTTTATAATTACCCCTCTCTATTAATTACCCACTAATAATTTAAAAAATTAAGAGTTTAAAAAATAAATTCTACAAACAACATCGTCGCATCGTTCACAACTTGCTAATTATATACCTAAAATTTTTTCTTTTTTTTTTTAATTTTTCTTATTATGCTAATTTTCTTTCTCGAAATATTATTTAAAATTTAAAACATTTCCTATTTAGTTAAATTATGTTAAATATATTTTTAAAATTCCTCTTCTTGACTGGAAATAAAAGAAAAAGATTATTTTATATAGGGATTTCTCTTCTTTTGACAACATCCTAAGGAATAAAAACAAAGGTATGTATTATTACGAAACTAAACATTATTACGAAACTTGCTCGCTCTTTCTTTATTCTCTTTAAATTCTTTTGCTTTTTTATGCAAAATTTCTTTTAGGCTTTTTCCCGCGACTGAAAATAATGAAATGGAATTTCAGTGAAATTCCTATTTTACAACACATCAATTATTTTATGGAATATTTTCTTAAAAAAGGATTTCACATTTCTTTCTTCATTCTTTAAAATTCTAAGAAATTTAATACTTTTGAATTAGTCTCTAATTTTGAATTTATTTTATTATTAATGTCTCCTCCACCTTCGAAGAAAGCACGACATTTCTTCATTGATAATCTATTACAGAAAGGTGATGGTGATTATGTAAAACATTTGGGTGAAGAAACTAAAATCACCCGGAAATTTAACCTTACCAAACTTTCTACTAAATTCTTAATTACGAATATCCCACCCGATCCTGAGGGTTTATTAAAAGGAATTTTCCAAGAATGCATCGACAAAACATTGGAGACGAGTCATGGTCATCAGCTTGATCCAGATCAACTTGGCTGTACAGTGAGCAGTCAATTGTTAGAATCAGATATTTGGATTCCAATACGTGAAATTTCTCCCAACACGGTGGATTCAATTCTTAATCAATTTCTAAAAGTGGCCCAATCTAAAAAACAGGATCAGGGAATGTTATGGGGTGAACCATTTACCGTTTCTGTTACAGCTATTGACAAAAAACATCTGCCTACAACA